CGAGTATCTTACCACCTACAAATAGGACAGCTCCCTTTATTAGGATTTATAACCGTAATCATGATATGAAATGGTGTTAGCAAAATACTTTCAGCTTCCAGAAGTATTTGTCCTTCACAAATTCAAATCAAAACATGAAGGTGTATTAGAAAACTTAATTATAAAAACAGTTGAGAAATACCGATGCTCAGCCTGCTTCCTCGGATCTGTGTCTCTGCAGGCATAGTCCCTAGGATATGCTCACCCCTTCTAGCCCTGAGCCCTGTTAGCATGCTTACCTCTTCTAAGAAACAAACTTCAACTTAATCTCTGTAAAACTGCGTTGTACTGTCGCGGTGTCTATATGGTAGTACCTGCTGGTTTAGTGAGGAGGGCCACCACGGAGCATCCTTGCTCTGGATCTTCACATCTGTAGTCTAATTCCTATACAGTTCTTGCTGCTTGCTTTATGCTAGTGGTGTTGTCAACCTTAAATAGTTCTCTGTCCCTTTACTTGTCATATTGATCCTGGGCATTGTTGTCCTTTGAAATTTGTTCTAAGCTCTAATGTCTTCTAAAATGGACTCTTGCTTAGTTGCTTCCTAGTAACTCATGCAGGAGATGAATTCAAGCAAGATCACATAAAACAGAGTTATCAGAAGAATATACTGTATTGCTGAGGAAAGCAAACTGGTGCTTTGAACTGTGGCAATGTTTTCTAACTTTTTTTCTTTACAATATTGAAGCTATGTATGTGGGAAAGCTACATGATTTTTTTGTTTGTTTTTTCCCTCCTCTCAGCTATCATGCTGAAAGAAAACTTACTTTCTTCCGTACGAAATGAGCAGTCCGGTTAAAGACTGAGGAGAGTTATAGCTGCTTTTGGGGATCACTGTTATAGCCATACTGATCCGGAGATACAAACTTGCTGCAAAGAAGTATTTGAATGCTTTACATGTTGAAACAATGTCTAAGCATTCTGAAGCAAAAAACGTGAAATTATTTTGCTGGCAATCATGGAATAATTAGTAAAAGGAATACTGTTTGGGAGGGAACCAAGGCCAGGGAAGGCCTGAGACCTAAATGAACCCTAGTGGTTGGATTTCTGGGAAACATAAAAGCTCAGAAATTAAGTACTGCTACCTAAATCCAATATCATAAAATGGTTTATGGAGTGGATCTGTGACTCTAGGGATATCTCTATTTTATAATTGGTGTATTTTGGTACCCACCTCTCTGATACACTGATATCAGAGGCAGAAATGCTGAAAATAAGTGGAAGGGGTCTTGGCCCTGTTAAGTGAAGCTCTTTGCCTGGGCTGCAGAAGCATTGCACAGCTCTTGACTTCAGCCATCTGTGCCAAATTCCCTGGCTGCAAAAAGGAAATCTGTCTTGGCAGCTGGGTGAACTGAGAGTAAATTAACACTTCTGAGTGAGGTGGCTAGAGACTTCCTTGTGATATTTTGTCAATGACTAACTGAAATACTAGCTGTTAACCAGCATTTTTCTAGTAGATCACTTAGCTGTACATTCCTGGTTTATTTTAGCGCTTAGTTCTGATTATATGGATAAAGAAATGAAAATCACAGAGTCACTTTGAGTACAGATGTCAGTATGTATAATTATGTACTGACTTGGTATTTAGTGACTCAATTATTAACAAGCTTATGCTTTAAGTGTAAGTAGCTTTCTTAGGAAAGGAAATGGATGAGCGATAGTTTGTTTTGTTCTGTTTGCAAGTTCTGTGTGTATGTGGGGGGGTTTTGTCTTTTTTATCAAGCCCTTTCCTATGTACATTAAGTATCTGGGATACTCGATGAATACTAAACTGGTAAAAGGCTATTAGGGAAGTGTACCTAAACTTTAAAAAATAACTTATCTTAAAGTCTATTATTGTACCAGGGGAAAAAATGTTTGGCTCAAATGTGACTTATACTTTGCCAAACGTCCTCACTAAATCTGAAGCAAAATATCTATTACATCAGGTCTGAACATTGTCTTCAGCACTAAAGCAAATCCCAAGCTCCTGAATTTCAAGATAGTTCAGGTGAGAGCCTTACGTTGAGCTTCCAGATCAGTTTCACGTTAGCACCTGGGGAGGTAAACGTGCATGGAGAAGGAAATCAGCCTTTGGTTACAGAGCCCTGAAAATGGGATACATGTTGGCTGTAAAGGGCCAGGGATGAGAAGACAGATGAAACAAACTCACCAAAAAAACACCCCTCCAAAACAAACAAAACAAAACCAAGAAAAAAAAAAACCCTAAACCCTCAGAAGCCACAACTCTAAGCATGATCTCTAAAAAGGCTTTGTAACATTTTGGTATCTGACTCAATTTTTCAATGCCTAGAGCTGACAGTACTGACTGCAGATACTCAGCTTTATGCATGGAAGGATTTTCAGTCAGAAAAATGATACAGGAAAGTACACAGGTAATAGCAATATGCCAGCAGTACTGGTCCAAAATACCCCCTACAAGTTCTTGAACATACTGTGAAAACGGCTTAAGTAAGTGCTGTTCATCCTGAGAAACAGGAACCCTTAGAGGGGTGTACACGAGCCATTGTGGAAAGTTAAGGAGCTTTTAATGATATTTTTCTCAGTAACCCATAACAAGAAAAATCTGTTCATAGCTAGGTTTAGAACAACACAATAAAACTGGTCAATATATTAGTCGTGAGAGCCTGCTTAAAAAGTTAGTCTCTGTATCCTATCCAGTGAATGTTTGTGTCACACCAGTCAAGGAAAAAAAACTACCTCGAAACTTAGAACGAAACTGTAATATCGATGCAGTCTAAGTGTTTAGATAAGGCTTTTGGCCTTTGAAAGGAAATAACATGAAGTTGTGTGTGATCTGGTTATCTCCTATGTATAATTCAGTGTTTTCATCGAGAGGTGTTCATAGCAGAGCAGATTTGTGTCCAAAATACATCACTCAAGCTTATATGTCCAAAGATACGCTTCTTGTCTAGTGTAAGTATTGGGTACTAAATTTGAAAAGGTCCAAGGCAGGCTTTGCAGGGGAGTACGTGGTGCAATCTTTGCTGCTTTCCACTTAAAGGCCAACCTGCTTTGTGCCTCAGTGTCCCAGGCAGGGAAGCAGGAGATGGGTAAACTCAATTTACCTGTTTGCCGTGTAGTACAAGAGCAGGCAGATGTTACGGACACCATGTGTTTCTGAAGCAGAGGAGCTGGAAATAAGTTGCTGAAATTGGGGATGACCATGATAGCAATAGTAGGGCTATATAGAGTAAATCAAATCCAGGGCAGAAAGCAAGCAACATCCAGCAGATACAGGTCTGTGCTGGCTGGCTTGGTGCTGCTGCTCGCTTCCCTTGGGAGGTGGTAATGTTGCCTTGCAGGCAGCTTTCTGACCTGGCGGGCCGGGAGAGGGGTAGATGATGCTTGCTTCAGCATAGGTCATTCATCTACCCCATATTAGGAAACCTCTAGTCTAGGCTAGCTGAGTCAACTGGCAAACTCCTGCTGTTTTTAATAACTAACTAACTACAGCAGTATGCAAAGTAGGAATGGGTACAATATTTTTTTTTTGGTGCTTGTGGATTCACTTAGGTAGGAAATAGATAAAGTTCTCAAACATTTTCCTCATGTATTATGCAACCCGCTTCCTTAATGAAAGCTAGATAAGAGCAAGAGTAACTAAAATGTCAAGTATCTTCTCCTGAGCTAGCAATGTCTTCCATGGCTTCCTGTCATTGTCTTAATTACAAATATTTGATATCCTTTGGCTGATGAAATCATTTCCCCACTTTAGTTGCCCCTGTTGTCGGGTGATAGTCCAGATTTTTGCTCCACCCAGCTTGCAGGCTGTGGGAAGAGAGGGCTCAATGTACCCCTCGCCTCTGGAGCCTTGCTTTGCGCAGGCACAAACAAAATGAAACTCCTGAGAGTCCTATTGATTTGAAACATTAGCGTGCCGAATAGTTTCCGAAAGAAAAAACTAACCAAGTTCTAGCTGGTGGTTACCAGTCTGGTTCTTACCTTTCTTCCTGTTAATGTGTCGAGCCTGTTCACTGCACGCAGCTGTCGGGCCATAACTGTAGCCCTTCACTTAAAAGCAGCCACCGTGCCACTGAGGTGGCCTGTGCGCCACAGGGCGCTGCTCTGGCTTTCGGGTACGCTATTAGCACAGTAACTCGAGATACAGTCCAAAAAGGCAAACCCTTGCCTCCTGCCAGGGGTCTCTTGTGAGGCTTGAAGCAAGTTGTTGACACTTCCTTTTTTTATTCCCCGTCTGAAAAACAAACTGCTAGTCTGGATGGGGGCAAGCGAGAGGAGGGAAGACCCGCTGCCAAGGCAGCAAGGACCCTGGAAAGCTGCTGCGAGAGCCGCGAAAAGCACTGCAAAGAGAGACTCGCACCACTGGGGCTACGCAGGGTGAAGGAAAAATGGAAAGATGTATTCTTTCCTTCCTTCCAGGAGAGGGGATTTTTATTAGCTGAAGTGGTAGCTGGAAGAATTCCTGATTTGTTTTTATCTTGTTTGTTCATTGGAGATCTGAAACACTGGCTCTCTTGTTCCCCCTGTTTAGGGGTGGGGGGCATAAGTAAAAAGAAAATAAAACCTTTCTATACCTGCAAAGACAAGTTAATGTCATAGCTCTTAACATCACAGATAACCTCTCCAAGGGGAGCAGAACTTGAATTCTGTTGTAGCCTTTCACTTGAGAAATCTGTGCTTTGAAATTGGGGGGGTGGTGGGGGGCAGCCTGGGACCTGGGCAGGTGATGGTGTTAAGAGCTGAAATGCAGGATGATGCTGAATTCCCTTTTTTCTGCTGAAATGAGTTAGACTGTTCCAGTCGAAGCTGCGGTAGCCTGTGTGCGCGCAGGCACAGACCGCACGCTTGCCTGCTGTGAATCTGATGCGGAGCAGTTTGAAAGTGCAAAACATGTATTTCACAGATTACCATGGGGATCACTTTAATCAGCTTTCAGACCTGCTAATGCTGTAGAGATCTTTGAAGGACTGCTGCTGTTTTCATCTTCATGCAGCCAGTGCGAGACGGAAGGAACAACATGTCCCTGTGCCGTCGCTGGAAGAGATGCGTCTCTATAGGTAACTGCACAATGGGCAGCCGCTTTTGCTGTGTGATATATTGAGCTGTGGGTGAGTAGAATTAACAGCAGCAGCGATGGGAATGCTTTCGAGCAAAAGGTCGGTATGTATTTGGTAAATCTTTCTAATCTGGCACTGGCTGGAAGCCAGTGTTAATGGCCTTGGGGCTTTAACCAAAAGAAACATCTGAGTACAGATAGCTTTACCTTGTAAGCATATAAAGGGGGAAAATGTTTCTTTTTTGTTGTTTAAATTCTCTTAGAAATCAAGATCAGCTGTGCTTGCAGCTGATATGCTTAAAGCTGTTGGTGAATTGTTATGGGAACAGATACATTACAGAAACAAAAAAGCAATTGTGTGCCAGAATACTAATAGAAGGACTGTATGCCAAAGATATTTTTAGCTTCAGCCAATGTTAATACAGGGAAACAAGCCTCAGAGGTGGGAGGAGAGAACTCTGTAACTGCTCTCTTCTAAGGATTAGTTGTGATTGTCAGTTGTGCTAAGGAGATTTCCGATGGCTGTTTTTGCAATATTCCTACAATCACTTTAATAGTTCTCTTATGATAGGTACGTACATGGCCCACAATAGGATTATTAGGCATGATTATCTAAGGTGAAATTCTAGCTCTTTTATCAGATTTAGTATCTTCCTTGATCAGTGAGGTCATTCAGAGAAGAGTTGCTTATCTGTGCTCAAAATATCAGAATTCAGTTTAGCTGTAATTTCTGCCACCCCATGTTCTCATATATATATTTTTAATTGCTGTAACATTATCAAATCTCCGATATTTGCAATTTCTGAAATATAATGATCCTGGAAGAGAAGAGTGGACTTGCTATGTGTGTTTTGAAAAGTAATGTTTTCTAGGTTAGACTTTCTTTTGAATAGGAGGATATATTGAGCTGAAAATTCAAAAGAAATTTCATAGCAGGTAAAAACTGTTTTCATACAAGTGACTGAAAGTGCAGAATGGAGGCAATATATACTTTCCTGGGTTTGCACAGTGAAGTCTCCATTTGTACCCTGTTGCCTTGTATCTACATCTTAGATACGTTTTACATACCAGTAAGGAGATGTAGATCCAGTGTTCTCTTAACCACCTCAAATGCTGAGAGCTTGTGTTCATTGCATTCTAATGTGTGCAAATGTGTTTTGAGCTCCTGTGAAAGTTGGTAGGCCATGCTGATTTAGGGTTTAAAAAAAAAATAGTTGAGGAAAAGACCAGAGAAATATTGGGTAGTATATTTCATCATGTGAGCAGAAGCTTAGTTCCCAAAGTCTCAAAATTGCTTAACCCCCCCAAAAAGCAACATTTGTGCTTAGTAGATCATGTTCCCACAAAACCTTGAATAAGTTGAGGATCGGAGGTAATATAAAATGCACTTTAAGTTTACTGCTGCAAGCAGATTTGCAAAGTGCATTACTTCCTTCAGAGCCACCTTACTGATGCTTATGTGGTGCATTTAACTCTCCTACTATTAGTAGGAAGAACTTGATGACAAGCTTATTGGAGTATATCATTAATGCAATCTTAATGCAAATAGATATATAAAATAATATTTCCAAGTTTTTGGAAACCTGGAACATGGAGAATTTAGGCAGTTTTCGAAGTTAGAACTTACGAGTTTGACAAATGTCAGTTGTCTGACCCAGCTCTCCCTACACTTATGGCACTTGGAGGGGTTTTTGGCTTGGGACTTGGGAGCCTCTCCAGCTGTCCCTGAAATTCCCTTTGGCATACTGGAACTGCAATGCTATTTAAAATTCTGGTGTCAAACAGTAGCTGCTGAAGCTGAGTATTCAGACTTAGTCAGATTGTTAGATCAAATTTATCTACATAACATTGATTTTCAGTCAGATGTATATCAGGAAAGACAATATAGTATATCCTGGGAAACTCACTGGAAGAGTCCAGGTTATGGTGATAAACTGCTAGCAAATACAGGAGGGTATTTGGAGAACAGTTGAGGAAAGAGTAGAATAGAACTGAAGTGTTTAGTAAGGCCATTTTTGGCTAATGCGGTATGGGACCCTGGAAGAACCAATGCTTGTTTTAGCTGGCAACAATTACTAGAGCCCCTAATATTTCTGTGGAGTGGATCATCCTATTGATCCAATTTATTGAACTGTGTTTGTTTTGGAAATTTTTGTCCTAAGTAGTAGCTGACTGCTTGAAGTTAGCTTTAGGGTTTTTAATCTTTCCTGTCTTTCATAAAATATTTGGTGAGCTGGTGTTTTTTGCCGGTTTTCTAAACTTAGTCTAGAAGCTGGGGCAGGGGAAGAAGGGACTACTTTACTTTTCAGCGGTGAAGATTCAGCCTTAGAATTTAGCTGATAGTGTGGTTACAAAGCATGAGGCAGAAGAGATTATATTTGGCTCTCATAGCTTTATTGGCTCAGCATTATCAGCAGAAGCTGCTTGTTTTTGCATTAACTGAGCAGGTACAAAATGACTTGGGAGACAGAACAGCTATTTTGGGGAAAGTGCTGTTCCTCTTGTGGTCTCACCAGGGCTATGTACAAGGCTTGTTACAGGAGACAAACATCAGGCCTTTATTTTGCTATTCAGAGAAGCAAAAAAGCTTCCTTGTGGTGCACGTCTTAGGTCAGACCTCAGGCAACCTTAGGCATCTCTTCTTTCCTGTATCTGAATGCTTGGCCACCTCATGCTTTGCTTTGATTAATGTGGTTGCTCTATATTCATACTGAGGAGAGTGAACTTTATTGGACGAACTTACCTCTTATCCCTCACCTCAACAATAAGTGCATTTTTTTCCTCTTTAAATATCCAGTAATTGCAGGTGACCATGCATCTGAATCTTCTTATCTACATATAGGTTTTTGCTAAACTATGTATTTTGTAATTAGGACTGAGCTACTGCAAGATTACTGCTTTGGAGTCCTGCAAAATGTGTCTCTAGCTTTCTGCTGTGTCTCTAGCTCTTCTGTTTATTTGTGACGATACTTGGCTTCATCATCGAACTACATTTGATCATTTGCATTGTAGAAGTCAGGCTCCAGCTGTCTCTGCCTGCAGCATGCAATTCTGTTCAAACTGAGCAAGTTACTCTTTGAAACAAGCTATGTTATTTTGTCCTGAACGTTTTTGATGATTAAGAACTTTCGAGTTGTAATTTAAGATTATTCAGAAATAACTTCATTGTGCCACCTAATAATTTAGCTTAAATCGGGGTTAAACACCAGAAAGAATCGAGGCTGAACACCAGAAAGAAGGACTTAATTTCACAAGGTACACACTCTTGTCCAGTCTTAGATTAGCAGAGCCAAGCAAATAGAGTTCTTTCCTCATTTCTCTAATCCCAGTGGCTGCATTTGTATCTGTTAGGCCTATGAGAAGTCTTTCATGTATACGTGCAATTCTGATCACCTGTTTTACATGACAGTTACCAATGCTGAATATATCTTACTCTCAGCACATATAGATCAGTAATTATCTCTTGATACAGCATAACACTGCAGCTCTTCTATAGCTGCATCTCACTGGTAAATCAGTCATCCTAGGATTGACCAGTATATGTAAGCATCTCATTTTAGCTGAGCTCCTAATTCATAGCCAGATTTTTTTATAAATCCCTGAAGTGCAGTATTATGTATTTGTACTACAGGGTTTTTTACAATTATATTAATCTAGTCTTCAAGAACATGCATCTGTCTGCAAGATTCTGGCTCTTGCTGTGGGCTGCATCTAGCTCTGCACAGGCTTAAATATAAGCAAGCCCAGACTACTGGCCACTCACCTGTCTTGCAATTTTTTTATGATTGATTGAATGAAATTGTCCTCAAGATTGGTCTCGGAGCAGACAGATTGACAGGTGACCTCTTTCCGGCAGGATAACTTCTCTTGCAGAACAATTCACAGTCTACTCTTCTAGGCAGCTCCTCTGAGTTTTAAGCGACTTTTAAAATTTGAAATGCATGTAGCGGAAGTCTTCTGTCCCCAAATCCTCTTCATCTGGTTAATGGTAATTAAGGCTAAGTAATTACTCATTTTTGCTTTTAGCAATAGTTGTGTATCTTATTAATCTACTTTGCAAGGCTGTGCAGAGAGAAGGAGAGAAGATACGGAGCTGTTTAATTTCCTTTGTCTGGGTTAGCTTGACTGATGACAACTTTTTCCTTGTATCTTAGAGGTCAGAAAATAAGCTTTCTTTGCTCAATCCTCTTCTATCATTCTTCTGAAACTTTATTTACTCTTAATATCCTTCTAGGGGCTACTTGTTCTCATCCTCTTGAGTGTGAATTTGTTTCTTCATCTATATCTAGCACAGATAAAAATTCCTTTTTTCAGATCTGTTTTTCTGCTATACATAAAATACTCTTTCTTCCTTGCTCTGCATCTCCAGAACATCTGCTACATTACGGATGGCTTTTTGCTTTCTGACTTGAACAAAGAGGACATTTGATCCGACTGGGAATAGTCACCCTAATACTGAAATGCTAATGCAGCCATTTAACTGTACTGATTGATGTTGTCTGTTTTGTGGTCTCTTTTGTTAGTCTGTAGGCCTGGTGGCAAGTGTTCAAATGTCTTGGTGTCAAAGCCCCATTTTCAAGACAGCAAACAGTCTGTTGCTTGATCCGTAATGCCTGGGTGAAGACAGAGACACACTTCCAGAGTTTCAAGTACAAGTGTTTCTCTGATGATACTCCAGAGGGTGCCTGCATGTGCTGTCTTTCATGTATGGTGCTATGTCATAGTTAATGAACATATTCTGGTGCTAGAACTTGTCAGGACCTTTGTGTTGTCCTGGACTGAAGTCCCTGATATTAGTGTTACAGCCTGAAAAGACTTCAACTGCTGTTGCTTAAACCTCATACAAGCAAGACTAAGATATCGTTCCCTCTTTAGATAATTCTTTGCTCTGGAGCCTGATCAGACTTGGCTAGAGCAGATGCTCGGTGCTAGTAAAGTCCTGGGCTTAAAAATTCAAGTATTCAATATACTCTGCTCTCTACCCCTTCCTCTTTTCCCCTT